AGTTGTTAGCAAGTAAGGAGTTGTTAGTAAGGAGTTGTTAGTGAGCAAGAAGTTGTTAGTAAGGAGTTGTTAGTAAGCAAGGAGTTGTTAGTAGGGAGCTGTTAGTAAGGAGTTGTTAGTGAGTAAGGACTTGTCCCTTGCTTTTTATCCGACGCGTGTGCGGCGATGACGCAGCCATCGATCGAGGGTCGAATTCGAACCGCGTGGTGTGATCGGAATCGCGCTCGCTGAAGGTGTTGATGCCTTCAGGGAAGTCGTGGACGCTGTATACACAACTGCGCACAATTCTGTGAGTCACTTATAACTGCTTTCCCGTTACTTATTGACAATTATAGACTCAGACTATTGCCCTATCATCTCTTAGGGTCCCTGGCACGTAAAAATACGCTACACAGTGGCAGTGGGGGTCGCAAAATTCCGATTTATTACTAATAAACCCCAATGATCCGATCGAAATCCATAATTTCGATCGGATCATTGGGGGGGTCACGTGCCACCCCAACCCCGCCAGTGGCTGTTAGTAATCGGGTTTGCAAAAGGAATGGCGCGTGCCAGCAGGGGAATGAGGCAATGGTGCAGGGGGTTGAAGGAGGTATGGGTGGAGCGTAATAGTGTATGAGGCTGATAGAAGGGTGTAGCAATGCAATGCATTAAATAATACATTACACAGGAATGCCCTCATCACGTGAAGGCGTATGGGTACGTGGGCACGTGTGAGTGCGTGGGCATACCTCTTGAGAGGCCTCAATGCATGCCACAATTACCAGATTCAATGAAGTTAAATTAAGTTCGCTCGAACTGGAATGTTTATTCATTGCTGCTTTCATGATTGTTTTGCATGTGGGAAGGAAACCGAAGTACTTTCAAGGTCAAGCTAATTTGTTTAACCCAAATGAGAACTCAAATCGGCCACGAAAAGCCTTATTTGCATGAGTCACCTGGGTCACCAAAATGACAAAAACGACACAGAATTCAAGCAAACATTAACGAGACCCAACAAACCAATTAGAACATCACACTTGTCAAAAAGCCGACGCTGATAAGAGGCAGCAGCGCTTAAAGGTCATCACCGACACATTCACGTACACCCACCGAATTGGCCATAGCTTTCGGTCCGGCACATTTTTGTTCCCCTTCCTTTCCGGCAGTTTCTTCAGAAAAGTTACGCGGGTTGGGTTAGGGTATGGGGGCACCTTACGAGAAGCCAAAACGTGAATCACAGGAAGGAATTTGACGCAACCTCCAGGTCATTCGTCTTACCCGTGGGGAGGGGCAGCGAATAGGATGACATTAGCGGTTCTGCGAGACTACTCCCATGTGAATATTATCCGCAAGGCAATGCGGGTGATGGGTTAACACTGACACAACTTTCTGGTGACCTATCTGTAAAAAAAACACGAATAGGAAGAGCCCATCCACTGACAACAGGATTTATTTTTACAAAAGAAAATGATGCGTCTTTGTGGAGAATATAACAAAGTACATAAGCAGACAATGTCTCTTTCATGTATCTCTCTCCATGTAAAACAGTTAAGAATTTCTGACATAACCCAGCTGCCCAATGGCCTTCTGGGAGTGCATAATTTCTGAGATCATATAAAAGTATTTCTTACATAGCCCGATCTTGACATCATGCACTCCCACAAGGCCACTGGGCTGACATGTTGTGTAAGAAATACTGTCTGATCAACTATAATAGGACTTTTCACAGATCGATGGTGGCGGCGGATACTAGGAGTCGTGGGTAAGACGGCCACGGATGGGATACATCTTGAGTTTCACTGCACTACTATGAGAATTTGATCGGGCAGGAGTGACCAAACTGCTTGGGACGCAAAACCAAAATTCTCATTTGTGGCGAGACACAAAAAAACGTGAGGCCGGGGCATGGTTCGCTCTACGAAGGTTGGCTGTGGAGTTTCGAAATTAGAAATCCGGTGTACTCACACGCCTGTGTCTCTTGCTTCCAGGGATGAGCGCCCGGGGACCAACTCCCACCGCGGAATTCTTTCTGTTAAAAGCTGCGTCCAAAAGTTGAACACTTAGCTGCGTATAATTGCCCGGGGTCCACACGCAACTCACGAGCCGTGGTTTGGTCGATTCTATTAAACGTGCCCTACTATGAAAATAACCACACTTTGTCCACTAAATTGTGGCCGAACAATGGGCTACAATATACTGTAACGCAATACACCACCATACGCTGCAGTGCCGCCTACTCTTCACGGTACCACAAAACTCTTCTTCTTATCCGCGGTGATTATGGAGGATGAACATTCCGTACCCTGTTATCCTCAAATATGCTACAATTGCGGATTTGTAAAAAAAAACAAATGTGTGTATCGCGAAAAAAAGGATAGATTTAGCAATGAACTCCTCTTATCCGTGATAAATTTGCGAGTTAGGAGTTCAAAACCCCGTTCGGGGACCAGTGGCCAAGGCTGCTGCGGCTATTTAAAAGTCTGCGTCCATTACATAACACGGCGGGATGATCGAGTGCAATTTTCCGTGCGACTCCTCCAATATCTGAAAAAAGTGCGGATAACAGGAAAGCCGTTCCGAAATTAAATAACGTGAAAATCCAGCGGATAACCACAAACTCTTGTGGTTTTTTTCAGACCCTACAGCTCCCGCGGATAATAGGAGTCACAGATAATAAAGCCATGGATAAGGGCATCGATGCAGTATTGTACTGCAATAGACCATACACTCGAATCCACTACTTTGTGCTGTACTAGAATATACTGTAATAGACGAACACACTATTGCAATAGAGTACACTTCACAGCACACGACGTGCAGTGCTGTGCCGCAATAATGTAGACCACAGAGTACCGTACACTACTCTACACAGTACAGTACACTACTCAGTACACTACTCTACACAGTACACTACTCTACACAGTACACTACTCTACACAGTACAGTAGAGTACACTACTCAGTACACTACTCTACACACTACACTACTCTACACAGTACAGTAGAGTACACTACTCAGTACACTACTCTACACACTACACTACTCTACACAGTACAGTAGAGTACACTACTCAGTACACTACTCTACACAGTACAGTACACCACTCAGTACACTACTCTACACAGTACAATACTCTACACAGTACACTACACAGTACCGTACACCACTCTACACAGTACAGTACACTACTCTACACAGTACACTACTCTACACAGTACAGTACACTACTCTACACAGTACACTACTCTACACAGTACACTACTCTAACCAGTACAGTACACTACTCTACACAGTACACTACACAGTACACTACTCTACACAGTACACTACTCTACATAGTACAGTACACTACTCTACACAGTACCGTACAGTACACTACACAGTACACTACTCTACACAGTACACTACACAGTACAGTACAGTACACTACACAGTACCGTATACGCCTCTACACAGTACAGTACACTACTCTACACAGTACGCTACACTATTCAGTACAGTACACTACTCTACACAGTACTGTACACTACTCTACACAGTACCGTACACGACACAGTACACTACACAGTACAGTACACTACACAGTACACTTCTCTACACAGTACCATACACTACTCTACAAAGTATCGTACACTACTCTACACAGTACACTACACGGTACAGTACACTACTCTACACAGTACAGTACACTACTCTACACAGTACACTACTCTACACAGTACACTATTCTACACAGTACACTACACTACTCCACACAGTACACTACACTGTACAGTACACTACTCTACACAGCACACTACACTGTACCGTACACTACTCTACACAGTACAGTAGAGTACACTACACAGTACACTAAACTACACAGTACACTACACTAGTCTACACAGTACCGTACACTACTCTACACAGTACAGTACACTACTCTACACAGGGCACTACACTATTCAGTACAGTACACTACTCTACACAGTACACTACACTACTCTACACAGTACAGTACACTACTCTACACAGTACAGTACACAGTACACTACTCTACACAGTACTCTACATAGCACAGTACACTACACAATACACCACTCAGTACAGTACACTACACAGTACACTACACAGTACACTACTCAGTACAGCACACTACACAGTACAGTACACTACACAGTACAGCACACTACTCCACACAGTACAGTACTCCACACAGTACAGTACACTACACAGTACACTACACAGTACACTACTCCACACAGTACCGTACACTACACTACTCAGTACCATACATAGTGTGTGTGTATAAAGTGTGTATATAAAGTGTGTGTATAAAGTGTATAAAGTGTGTGTGTGTGTATAAAGTGTGTATAACTGTCTACAACAGTGTGGGGAGCGGTGGTGCAGCGGTTAGCGCTACGAAACCCGGCGTCCCAGAGTTCGATTCCCGCTCACGGCCACCGCCACCGCCGCCACCACCAACCCCAGTGACGATGATCGATTATCGGAACCGGTCCTGGGCCTGCGCCTAGGTCGACTCAGCCTGGAAAAAAACTCCCCGGCGCGGTGCGTAGTGAACACCGCCACTGGGGGAGAGACAAAGGCGGCCGGGCCTGGTTGCTGTCCACCCACCCCCCCCTCTCGTGTGCCACAGTGCCGGTAGCCTTCACAGGTGCTGCTCGACAACAGCACTTGCCCCTACAGCCTGCCACAGGCTACACGGGGGGGTGGACCACCTTTGTCTTTGTATTGTAACACGCGACGCCGGTAGTACAGTGCGTTAGGAGGGGTAACAGCGTTCACATCGCCATTGAATTAGAGGCGCGGAGCGTTACGATTTGTGAACGCGACCAGATCATTTCTAACGAGCTATAGTCGTAGACTGCGTTTAAGGATATATATCTTATACTCTTACACACACACAAGGAGTTGGACACTGTACATCAACAACAACAATGACAGTGGGTCGTGCAGTGTTCGGGCAGGACGCTGACGGCTTTACAAAGACAACGACGAGACACCACGCGAATGCTTACCGTGTCGAGCGAGGCTTTAACCTCCTTTTTACTTCAAAAACCTCGAGACGAACTCCCCCCACACACACCAACACTCCGACACCAACACACAGACACCGACACCAACACACCGACGCCAAGCGGTGTGATGGTGGTGGTGCAGCTGTGGAGTTGTATCGCTAAGGTGGTCAACAATCACCACCACCACCTCTACAAGATACACTCACTTCGTCTGTTAGTGTTGTTAAACCATCACCTCTCTCCACCACCACCACCTCTACAAGATACACTCACTTCGTCTGTTCGTGTTGTTAAACCATCACCTCTCTCCACCACCACCTCTACAAGATACACTCACTTCGTCTGTTAGTGTTGTTAAACCATCACCTCTCTCCACCTCTACAAGATACACTCACTTCGTCTCTTAGTGTTGTTAAACCATCACCTCTCTCCACCACCTCCTCTACAAGATACACTCACTTCGTCTGTTAGTGTTGTTAAACCATCACCTCTCTCCACCACCACCTCTACAAGATACACTCACTTCGTCTGTTAGTGTTGTTAAACCATCACCTCTCTCCACCACCACCTCTACAAGATACTCACTTCGTCTGTTAGTGTTGTTAAACCATCACCTCTCTCCACCACCACCTCTACAAGATACACTCACTTCGTCTGTCAGTGTTGTTAAACCATCACCTCTCTCCACCACCACCTCTACAAGATACACTCACTTCGTCTGTTAGTGTTGTTAAACCATCACCTCTCTCCACCACCACCTCTACAAGATACACTCACTTAGTCTGTTCGTGTTGTTAAACCATCACCTCTCTCCACCACCACCTCTACAAGATACACTCACTTCGTCTGTTAGTGTTGTTAAACCATCACCACCTCTACAAGATACACTCACTTCGTCTGTTAGTGTTGTTAAACCATCACCTCTCTCCACCACCACCTCTACAAGATACACTCACTTCGTCTGTTAGTGTTGTTAAACCATCACCTCTCTCCACCACCTCCTCTACAAGATAAACTCACTTCGTCTGTTAGTGTTGTTAAACCATCACCTCTCTCCACCACCACCTCTACAAGATACACTCACTTCGTCTGTTAGTGTTGTTAAACCATCACCTTTCTCCACCACCACCTCTACAAGATACACTCACTTCGTCTGTTAGTGTTGTTAAACCATCACCTCTCTCCACCACCACCTCTACAAGATACACTCACTTCGTCTGTTAGTGTTGTTAAACCATCACCACCTCTACAAGATACACTCACTTCGTCTGTTAGTGTTGTTAAACCATCACCTCTCTCCACCACCACCTCTACAAGATACACTCACTTCGTCTGTTAGTGTTGTTAAACCATCACCTCTCTCCACCACCACCTCTACAAGATACACTCACTTCGTCTGTTAGTGTTGTTAAACCATCACCTCTCTCCACCACCACCTCTACAAGATACACTCACTTCGTCTGTTAGTGTTGTTAAACCATCACCACCTCTACAAGATACACTCACTTCGTCTGTTAGTGTTGTTAAACCATCACCTCTCTCCACCACCACCTCTACAAGATACACTCACTTCGTCTGTTAGTGTTGTTAAACCATCACCTTTCTCCACCACCACCTCTACAAGATACACTCACTTCGTCTGTTAGTGTTGTTAAACCATCACCTCTCTCCACCACCACCTCTACAAGATACACTCACTTCGTCTGTTAGTGTTGTTAAACCATCACCTATCTCCACCACCACCTCTACAAGATACACTCACTTCGTCTGTTAGTGTTGTTAAACCATCACCTCTCTCCACCACCACCTCTACAAGATACACTCACTTCGTCTGTTAGTGTTGTTAAACCATCACCTCTCTCCACCACCACCTCTACAAGATACACTCACTTCGTCTGTTAGTGTTGTTAAACCATCACCTATCTCCAACACCTCTACAAGATACACTCACTTCGTCTGTTAGTGTTGTTAAACCATCACCTCTCTCCACCACCACCTCTACAAGATAAACTCACTTCGTCTGTTAGTGTTGTTAAACCATCACCTCTCTCCACCTCTACAAGATACACTCACTTCGTCTGTTAGTGTTGTTAAACCATCACCTCTCTCTCTCTCGCCTCTCTCGCCTTGCTCTCACTTCCCTACAGCGCACGCCACAAACAATTTGACCTCGCGTTCAGAACCCCCCCACACACACACCCCTAACCCCCACCCCCCACACACACACCCCTAACCCCCACCCCCCACACCCCCCAAACCCCCACCCCACACCCCCCCACACACCCACGCATCCCCCGTCACCGTGGGTCCCTCCCTCTGTGACGGGGGATGCATTTCCCGTAAACCACCCGCCAAGAGTTGGTGGTGGTGGTTGTTGTTGTGGTTTGTTTGTGTTACCCCACACACACGTGGGGGGGGGGGGGTGTTTGAGAGATGTGACGTCACGTCAAAATGCGCAACTTTAAATAAATATAGAATTGTTATAACGACACTAATTGTTATAACAACACTCCTACAACATCAGAGTGCAGCGCCACATTAAATACGCACTACAATGGCAATAGTTTAAAGCCATTTGAAGCATGCTTTATATATATTTTTTGGGGGGGGGGCAGAGCTTTGTGACGTCATATTTGAGAGGGGGGTTCTGACTTTTGTGACGTCGTGTGACGAAGGGGGGGGGGAGGGGGTAAAAAAATCGTTTAAAATCGCGTGACGTCATTTATGGACGGCCCCAAAGACAAAATCGGGCGCGATGGGAGGGGGGGTAGGGTCTCTCTCTGGGTGTCCAGACGCCACGTGGATGTCGATGGCTACCCGTTTCATTTCAGATCAGTTCATTTTCATTACTTAACTGGGAAACACTGCGATATTATATTCATACAGCGCCTTTCATCCAAGGCGCTTAACAAGGTTTTACGAGTGGCACAATGAGGGTAAGCTCAAAGTGATGCGGTGAGTAGGGATGGGGTATGGGGAGGGAGGTTCGTGGGTACGGGAATTACGGTGGGAACCTAGGGATGGAGGGATGAAGGATGGGCCAGGGAGGAGAGATTGGGGGGTCTTGACGGAGGAGCGGGAACGAGACAGGGAGGGTACTCGCTTAATATGAAACCTTGATAAGTGTTCTCTTGAAACAAGTCTGAAGAATTTGACGTTTATTTGACTGCTGTATATTTGAAGTTCGCGTGTCTCTCTCTCTCCCTCTCTCTGTGTGGTCGCGTGGATTTTTCTCCTGGTCCACCGGGTTTTCCCCTCCACGTTTATCATCAACATGTGTTGTAGAGTATTTGGCTGTTTTACATTTCCACGTGATAAGCCATTTCGCTGAGCCATCGTTTGTAGGCAGATCGCGTCTGGGATGTTGGTCAATACCAGTTACATTGTGTCGCCTTTTTGTTCTGTTAAGGAGGAAACCCGCGTTCAACGCTCACACGGAACAGCAAACAACCGCCGTTAGCCCCCTATAAGTGGCGTCACCACGGTGATTGTGCCAGGCTCGGTGCACCTTGAGGCCACGTTTCAGTTTTCAGTTCCATTTGTTAGGTAATAGCCCTGTGAGCCACGCGGCTATTGACTCAGGTGCAACCGCAACAAACAAAAACATGAACAAGAAAAACATCTTGAAGCGACTTACACGCAGCAGAAAAATCCAGGAAAAAAACAGCAAAAGTCTTCCAGAAAAAGCACCGTACATCAACGCTGTGTGCAAAAAAATCCCAGTGGGATGCAAGTCAAACAATAACAACCGTAAGACAATTTAGATTAAAGTTACCAGTCTAATTCTGCACTACAACAAACACGGCTAAACCAAAAACGTCTTCGAAATCACCAAAATAAAGCGATAAAAACAATGTAACAGTGATCATAGGAACCGTGATTCAAATGTAACAATAAACGATATATACAATAACATGTACTACCAAACATGCACTACCCATGCACGACGATTTCCTCCAAAGTTGTTTCAGCTCCCACGTCGCAAGTTCGCGCAGCGGTAGCGCCGGGCTGCTCCCAAGCGACCCGGCGTCATTGCGGGAGTGGGTGCCATGGGATGATGTGTCGTTGTTGGGTTCTGGGAATTGGAAGGAGCAGATGGTCAATGATACATGCACAGAATATGAAAATGACGTGTCTTGTATGACAGTACACTGAATATAATGTATGCTAGGGCTTTCTGAAAGCAACGGGTGGATAACATAGGGGCCGTCCATAAATGATGTCACGCGATTTTGGACGATTTTTTACCCCCCCTCCCCCCCTCATCGTCACACGGCGTCACAAAAAGTCAGACCCCCCATTAAATATGACGTCACAAAGCTCTGCCCCCCCCACCCCCCCAAAACATGCTTCAAATCGTTTTAAACTATTGTCATTGTAGTGCGTATTTAATGTGGCGCTGCACTCTGATGTTGTGGGAGAAAACATTAAAAAGTCTATTTAATTAAATAGAACGTTTTGATTTAAAGCTTTCGTGAATGCAGGGATTCATATTCTTGGTTCTTTCGGTAAAGTCACGTAGAAGGGAAACAATAAAATAATAAAAAATATAAAACAATAAAATTATCACGACGTTTCGACTGCAACACAAGCAATCATCATCAAGTGTGAAAACCACAGCAAGAAATTTTGAAAAAAGTGGCGTTATTTTTAACGTTAGCACCACGGAGAGCGATTTGGCAGTTTATTCAGGTGGACGAGTCCATCTATGTTCGGAAAAGAGGAGGGAGGAGACGAAAATAATGGATGCGGTCTGAAAGCCACCGTAAGCGTGAACAATCAATTAAGACCCGAAATGGTTTATCAAATCCTTCCAATGATTGCTAAACCAGAATCCATCTTCTCGGTTGAAATTGTCTCTGTATATGTGGATAGCCCTCATGAACGAATCTCTCATGGTAGCCAGATGGCTTGCAAATAACCTCTGTCTTTGAGAAGTCAATGTCATGTGAGCCTACTGAATTATAACAATGATCTGCCACGGCCGAGGTGTTGGTCCTACCGTGTTTTAGGTCTGCTTTGTGTTCACGAATGTGGTCCGAGACATTTCGTTTGGTTTCTCCAATATAACTACTACCACAGAGGCAACTTAGTTTGTAGACACCAGGGTACTCTATGTCCGGAATCACATCTTTTACAGACGGAACCAGATCACGGATTTTATGTAATGTGTTGAATCGGACTTGTCTATATTTATTTAAAGTTGCGCATTTTGATGTGACGTCACATTTCTCAACCCCCCCCCCCCTTGTCACACATCGTCACAAATGTCTGACCCCCCCCCCTCCCCAGGTGCGTGACGTCATTTATGGACGGCCCCTAATATATGCTGGGGTTTTCTGAAAGCAACTGGTGGATAACATAGCAAGTGCATCGTACTCACCCACCCCCTGCTTGGCTAATAGGATAGCAAAAAAATAATTACGGACCAGAGGTCAAATTCCCGAGTTTTGTCAGTTTTTGTGGGACAGCATAAACTCACCATGATTTAACACAATGTGTGTAGATTCCAGAACTGTAATGTTCCCATGAACAAGATTAAGCTTTACATACCTGTACTATCATCATCATCACGATCCATGAGCAGGCAGATAGCCCTGTAGGTGTCCCACTGCACATTTCGCCATTTGTTTCCACTTTCCTCTCTGTCTTGTGGTGCCACTGTGCTTAAGTCGCGGCCACATCTTTCTGGCACCAATCTCGTCAAAGCCATTCCTGGGTTGGGTCTTCCTCCCTTTCCAGTCCAACAACAACAACAACACACTTTAAGTGTTCAAGTTGTCCATCCGACCTGCACTCTACATCCGCTCCTGGATGAGGGTCACCCCCACGAGGCTTGTTCGACAGGACTTCATCACGCTGCTAAATGCGCTTTCGGTGACTGCTGGTGGACGTACACGAGTACAGTACAATAATAGATATTTATTCCATTTCCAAATGCTAGATGGGTCTTTGAGTTTGACAGTGACAATTAAGGGCCGGGTTCATGCGCGCAATTCGTTTTTCTGACAGTTTCAGAAATTATTTCGGTGACATGAATTAAAGTAATTCTTCTTCTTTGGTTCTTTCGGTAAAGTCACGTAGAATGAGAATAAAATAATAAAATAAAACAAGAACATTCTCACGACGTTTCGGCCACAACACAAGTGGCCTACCTGAAAAAGGCCACTTGTGTTGTGGCCGAAACGTCGTGAGAATTTTATTGTTTTATTTTATTATTTTATTCTCATTCTACGTGACTTTACCGAAAGAACCATAGAAGATGAATCCTTGCAGTCACGAAAGCTTTAAATCGAAAATTAAAGTAATTCTACCCAAATCCCCTAAATTGCCCAGACGAATGGTGGGTGACACAATTCCTCACCCACACCAACGGGCAGGACAAGGGGCATTTTGATGTGGGCATTCTAACACAAGCCCTGCCACAGACTGAGCCAAACAACTAGGCTCCTTGCCATCTAAATTAAACTTATTTTATTTTACCAGGTAAGGCCCACTGAGCTATGTAGCTCTTTGTCAGAAGCGACCTGGCCATGACAAATGATAGCTCAACGAAGAGTGGCTTATCACGTGGACATTTATAGCAGCCAAATGCCCTAAATGCATGTTTCTAAATATGGAGGGGGAAACCGCGACCACGTAGAGCACGTGCAAACTCCAAATATACAGCAGCAGGCGTCAGGGTCAGCATAAAGCTCACGACCTCCTGTATACCAGGCGAGGTAGTTAACATCTCCTAGCCACCGTGATGATGATGATGAGAGAGAGAGACATCGCAAACTCCAAATATACAACAGCAGGCGTCAGGGTCGGGATCGAACCTACGGCCTCCTGTATACCAGGCGAGGTAGTTAACATCTCACCATCGCGACATCTACATATCGTAGATGAATGAACCCTTGCAGAGCCATCCCACACGAACGACTGACTGTAATTCCCTTGCACAGAGGCATGCCACCACCATCATCATCGGCCACGGTCAGTCCACAGCTGGATGAAGCCCTCCACAAGTCGCCGCTAACTCTCACACTTCTGTCACTGCGACTATCCACCTGCACATGAGCGGGGGTCATCGCTCCGTTTCACATTTGGACGTCCTGACGACCACCCGCATTAACTTCAGCGGGTGCCACTCGTTCGTAATCCT